GCTCCCGAGCAAAATCATGGATACCCAGAAGTCGTGCCCTTACTTCGTCGGCGTAATCTCGGATTTCTCTTCGTTCTTCTTCGGGTACTCCAAACATCAGATCGCAAGGTAACCTGAGTTCCCTTCCAAAAACAATTCTAGCCAGACTTTCACCTGTTGAATTGTGAACAGCCGCTCTGTAAGCCATTAAAAATAGAGGCAAATGCTTGTCCCAATCTCGTTGGTTCTTTGCGACCACTTTTGTCAGGTGTTCCTCTATGGTCTTATTGAATCGTTCCACCATGCCATCAGACTGAGGGTGTAAAGGTGTTGTCCTGGTCTTACGAATTCCCATGATCTCACAAATTTTCTTAAAGATGGCAGATTCGAAGTTTCGTCCCTGGTCTGAATGTAACTCTAGTGGCACATCATGACGACTAAAAACTTCGTCCACTAGCACCTGGGCAACAGTGATGGCTTCTTGATTGGGAATAGCGAAAACTTCTGGCCATTTACTGAAGTAATCCATGATAACTAAGATGTATTTGTTACCACGCTCTGACTCTGGGAACGGTCCAGCAACATCTCTCGCTATTCTTTCCAATGGGAGACCGACGTTGTACTGTTTCATGGGCCCCCGAGATCTTAGTTTAGGGCCTTTACTGGTAGCACAGATGTCGCATTTTCGGCACCAGCTTTTAACGTCGTCATGGTAGTGAACCCAATAAAAACGTTCCCGAATTTTGTCCAAAGTCTTGTTAACTCCGAAATGTGCCCCTGAGGTTCCGTCGTGTATTTCTTTTAATACATCTTCCACTCGGTCTTTTGGGATAACCAGTTGGCTCTTAGTGGATTTCCCATCGGCACTTTCCCAAACTCTTTTGAGCAAACCATTTTCTACGGCCAGAGAGTTCCACTGGGCCCACAACGCCTTGTAAATCAAGCTTTTGTTTGACACTTCCCCCCATTCTGGCCTACATTCATCATTTTCTTTAAGATGTAGAATTTGCCCGATGTCCTTGTCTGCCTCCTGATCTTCTCTCATTTGTTTGGTAGTCCATTTGTCATCGACGATCAGGCCCGTTCTTCTTACAGCTGGACTAGAGTTTTTCTCATGTATATCGATTCTTTGACAATGATTGCAATTTTCTTTACATGGCCGTCTAGACAGAGCGTCAGCATTTTTATGCAGATTTCCAGGTCGATGTTTAATTTGGAAATCGTATTGCTGCAATTTCTCAATCCATCTAGCAAGCTGTCCTTCAGGAGTTTTCATTTCTAAAAGCCATTTTAGAGCTGCGTGATCTGTTCGAATTAGAAACTTGCGTCCATAGAGATACTTATGAAAATGGTCGACTGTTTTCACTATGGCAGGCAACTCTCTTCTGGTGACACAATAATTTCGTTCCGGCTTTGATAATGTTCTGCTGTAGTACTCCACGACATGTTCTTGTGAATTTTGGATTTGTGAAAGGACAGCTCCAACACTGGTGTTACTTGCATCTGTGTCCAAAATCAACATGCCTTTGTGATCAGGATAGGACAACACTGGGCTCGTACATAATGCTCCTTTCAATTTTCTAAGTGCGGAATCGCATTTTTGGGTCCAATTGAATGTTGATTTTTCTTCTGTTAATCGATGAAGTGGAGCAGCTATATTGGCGAATCCTTCCACAAATCTTCGATAGTAAGAACATAATCCTAGAAAACTCCTTAGTTCATGTTTGTCGCGTGGTTTTGGCCAGTCCCTGACAGCATCTATTTTTCCTTCCATAACTTGTATGCCCTCTTCCGATACCACGTGACCTAAGAATTCCACTTTCTTTTGAAATAGGAAACACTTATTTGGATTGAGTTTCAAGTTGGCATTCCGGAAGCGGTCAAAAACTTCTTTCAGGTTATTGAGATGTTCTTGGAACGAATTTCCCATAATCATGACATCATCCAAATATACCAGGCAAGTTCTCCATGTAAGGCCTCGCAAAACAAGATGCATCAGTCGCTCAAATGTAGCTGGAGCATTACACAATCCGAAAGGCATTACATTAAACTGGTATAGCCCGCTTCCGGTACTGAAGGCAGTTTTCTCTTTGTCATCGTCATGTATTGCCACTTGCCAGTATCCACTTTTGAGATCCAACGTGGAAAACCATTTGGAGCCCGATAGAGTTGTTAGTGTATCGTCTATTCTTGGGAGAGGGAAGCTGTCCTTCTTGGTGACGTCATTAAGCTTTCGCTAGTCCACACAAAATCTAAGACTCCCATCTTTCTTCGTAACCAGTACTACTGGCGCGGACCATGGACTATTTGACTCTTCAATGATTCCCTCTTGAAGCATTTTATCAATTTGGTTTTCCACTTCCTGTTGCTTAGCTACTGGCATACGTCGTGGTGGTTGTCTAATTGGGTGTGCCAATCCAGTATCAATTTTGTGTTGAATTAAGCTGGTTCGTCCGGTTCGATTGTCCATCACAAATACGTCTGCTTCTTTCAAGATGAAATCTGTGGCTTCTTGAAGTCTATCTGGATCAAGATGTTTCCATGATTTCGCCAAAGTCTGCATCAAGGTGTCTGTATCCAATTTGGATTTCACAAAATGTCGCTTATCTGGTAGGTCACAGTTCGATATTTGCTTTACTGGTTCGAGAGCTCCAATAATGTCTCCTTCTTTTATTCTTACTGTTTCGGGAGAAACATTGGCAATTCTTATCATAATGTCTCCATTTGTTCTTACTAGAGTCTTTCCAACAAGAAATCTTTCTGGTTTATCTCCAATGAAATTTCGTGTCAGCCCAACGCGGCACCCAGGGTTTGTTTCTAATCTTCCGCAAATGATCTTTTCAGTACTTCCAGGAATCCTCACTGAGGTTGTGGCCAAGATCTTAACAGCATCGGATTCTTCTTGTGTTGTTAGGACAATTTCTTCATTATCAAATTTAAGGATGTTCATGGAAGGATCAAACTATCGGACTAATGTTCTGTGCCTGAAGGTGGTAGATCCAAAAGTGAGCTCAACCATAGCTTCTCCTTGAACTGGTGCAGATTCGCCAGTGACTGTTCGTAGTGACAGGTTTCTAGTGAGCGGTTGGATTGCTCGAGACTTGACTAGTGTTCTTCTAATTATGGAAACTTCAGCACCGGTATCAAAAGTAATGATTTTCAATTCTCCATTAATTTGTCCTTCGAATTTTAATCCTCTATAATGACTGCCCAATGATTTTATGTAAACAACCCTGGGGGCTTCGTCATTACTAACCAGCATTCGCCCCTCCATACTGATTAGTTCTCGTTTCTCTGTCTGTTATTAGGGCTGGCGTCTCTTGATCTCGAAAAGCGTTAGAAACGATCCCTTGATGGAGAGGGCATTCTTACTCTACAATCTCGTTGAATGTGTCCAATCTTATGGCAGCGATAACATTCTAATCGGTTTCTTTGTGTTGGTGTTTGTCTGGAGTCGTTTCCCGTTTTTCTGTCTTCTCGTACACGCAAAAAACAAAATACTTGATTCAAATAGCTTAAGCTCAATTCGAGCATAAGTTAGCTTTGTATATACTCAAGACTATGACGCCTTGGAATAAGAATAGCAAATTCTCAATATATTAGGTTTCTTTTAACAAAATGCGATGTTTCGTTTGAGTATTTCAGATTTTTTAAATAAAAATGTAGTTATTTCAAATTGAAGATATATCGCTTCATCCTAAACTTTCAGATATTTATATAGCAACTTGAATTGAGAATATATCAGTTCCATCTAATAATATGGATCCGCTTTGTTTGATGCTATCCCAGTTTCATTTTAAGAGGACGGTAATTTCACCATGAAAATTGAGATATGCTTGAAGTGAACTTTTGTATAGTTTTTTATGGCCATTTGCACCCGCCATTTCAAGAGATGCTCAACGATAAGTATACCTTAAAATGACATTTTTACATGTAAAAAATGTCACATTCTTTACATGTAAAAATGTCATTTTAAGGAATACTTATCGTTAAGTCCCCCTTGAAATGGTCGGTGCAAACGGCCATTAGAGTATTCTACTCTGCAGCGTTCGCCCAAATTCAGTTACAGAATGCTAAACTTTTTTATTTTTCACATTACAAAAAAAAATCCTTATAAAATATTTCTCTCGATCCAACTATTTCTGGACGAAAAAAACAATGGTTAACAACTTTTTCTTTTAATATTAAATGAAAAGGTTACATGGGTTTGTTATCACTTAATAACTGATATACAGACACTGGTGACACACAATAATAATTATAAAATCGTTTACACAACGATTATTATGACTACAAAAGTAAATTTCTTTAAACAGTTCTGATTAGTCAGCATTGAAATTCCGCATTTGAACGAGGTTCCGGCTTCGCAAAGTTAAGTGATTTCGCGGGATTGCTGGCGATTTCGCAGGATTGCGCACGATTTCGCATGATTGCGCGCGATTTCGCAGGGATTTCGCGCGATTTGTGACAGTATTGCGCAGAGTGGTTTACCCCTCGGACTTATCTTGTCTTAAACATTTGCTCATAATTCAGTTGAAAAGCAACAAAATAAAAAATAACACATAATAATCAATTTGTTTCTTCCTTTTTTACAAATAGATAATAATTGCTTCTGAATCAAACATTTATATTTTTTTCCCAGATGAAATACCACTCAAACCAAGTAACTAAATTTATCAAAGACCATGGCTCAGAATATCTATCAGTGAAACAAATCAAACCGGAAGACAGCACTATGATTTGGGCCGCTAGAGACTTATCAATGTAAGTGTAGTGGGAATCATTGCAATTGGTACATGCTATACTCTTTTAACATCTCTCGTATTAAGTGAAAATTCTAACCAATGAATCTATTTAGTGCAGTGGTGTACAAATATTTTTTTTCCTTTAGCAGTAAAATTTTGACACTTTAGGGGGAAGTTTATATGAAAAAAAAGTGTGTGCCAATTGCAATGAGATTCTCACTGTATATACTCAAAATTATAATTCCATTATAAATCTTGCAATTTATTATTGTTAGTGAACAATCTCTGGCTAAATCATCCGACTACTACTTTGCCGTTGATTCAGTTGCTCATTTGGACAACCCTTACACCTTGAAATTGCTCATTGAACAAAACCGGACAGTGGTAGCTCCAATGCTGGTTAGACCTGGAAAAGCTTGGAGCAATTTTTGGGGGGCTCTGACCAAAGATGGATTTTATGCCAGGTCTAATGATTACATGGATATTGTACATCAAGAGAAAAGGTAAGACAATTATATTGTATATTACAATCTATTCTAATATAATACAATCATATAGTTATTATGTTGGTACTCTTTGTTCTTGACTCTTCTTTTTGCTTATATATCACAACCCTATTTAAGTTCAAATAAAAACTAATCGAAAGCGATGCTGAAATCGGTCTTGAACGATCTCCTGTCAATTGAGTACATGTTGTCAGCGGTGCACTCGTATAGTCCAGCATCCATTTGAGTCGCAGGATCGATTTCCAGTTTACTTTTGATTTTGTCCTTGTTGATTTGCCATTCGTGAATCTGGAATTACAATAGAGCAATTATTTCGATAAGTAATTTAGGTATTATAATTTTTATTTTTATTATTTTTTTTTTTTATTTTTTAATATTCTTTTTATTTTTGGTTTTCAATTATTTTTCCCTAACAAAGTTCATGCCCTAACATCCCAAATAAATACATAATTGATTTTAGTTAGTATGGTTCTACAAATCTTAGATTTGTCTTAAATTTTATTTCTCTTTTTATTTGAGGCATACTTGAATTCATGACACATGTGGCAACATTGCCAAATCATATTAAATGCATCTGTTATTATTACTAACTAATTTTTTCGATTTAGTAGGCACCAAATTTTATTTGCATCTTTTTCTATAAACATGTAAAAAAAAAGATAAGAATACTGTTTTTTAAATTTTCCCACGGATGGTTTATTCACCTTCTGATAAATTGTCAGGTATGCATACTGAGGGATAAAATAAAAACGCAATCTGTAATCCCATTAAAATTATAGAACGGTAAATTTATCTTGTAGATAGTTATCAGCAAGTCTATTTGAAAATAAATAAACCGGGTTTCCATCAAATTACTTACGTGCAAGTATAGATGGGTGAATATCTCGCTGCCGTCTTTGTACCAAGTGATGTGCGGTCGAGGATTTCCTCTAGCCACGCATATAAAGGCGATTTTGTGGCCCAAAACGTATTCATAGTCGAAGTGAGATGCCAGCACTATCTTGGCACCCTAAAATATTAAAAATCTAAAGTATTCTAGAACAATTTAGAATGCTTATAAATGTTCTAAATTGACACTAGTCGGAACGGTTCTGGGATTGAGTAGAACAACAAAAAATAATGGAGGACTGTTCTAATACAAGTTCTGAACCGACTTGAAACCAATCATCACGAAATTCCAAAACAGTTCCGCCTTCAGAGCAAGAACTGGGAGAACTGTTCTAGCACAATCCCAAAATTGTTCTTACATAGTTTTAAGTAATCCAAGTTTGTTCTAAAGTCTCATTATAATCCAGAAGTTTGTTTGTTTGTTTGTGTCGCACTAACTTGAACTAAGCTGTTATATTTCAGATTATGGCAGATAAGATAAACCACCCATTATAAAATGCTCCAGAAAATTTCAATTTGAATTTAAACTTCAAAATAGGTTGACTTTCCAGAATGCTGCTAAAAGTTCAAAATATTCGGAGCTTCTAAATTTGCTCTAAAGTTTTCTAGAGCGAAAGTAAAAATTAAAAATTGAATTGAAAATCGTCTGAAGCTTATTAAACATCTGAATTTCTTCTAAAATGTTCTAGAACATTTTACAATGCTTATAAATGTTCTAAATTGGCACTAGCTTATTCTAGAGTGTTCCAAAATGCTCCATTAAGTTCCAAAATGATTTTGAAACGTTTTAATGTTATAATAGTTATTACAAATTTCCCAAATATTCTAGTAAAGAATGCTTCAGAAAACTTTAAATTAAATTCAAACATTAAAATATCTCAAACTCCCTAAAAATATTCCTGAAAGTTCAAAAGTGCTCAGGAGTATTTTAGAATGTTACTGAAAATTGCAAATTGGTTCTAAACTGTTCTGGAGCGTTTTACAATGATTCTAAGAATTCTAAATTAGGGTAAAAAAATGAAAATTGAATCAGAAGACCTCTGAAGCTTAACAAAGTTCTAATTTTTCTTCCCAAAGTGTTTTAGAACGTTTTATGATGTTTAACATGTTCTAAATTGTATAGTGCCTATCTTGCAGGCTTCTAAAATGGTTCTATAATGCTTTTCAAAGTTTGAAACATTCTAAAAGTTGTTGGGGAGTGTTTTTTGATACCCATAAAAAATATCTAAGAATGTTTTAATTTCATTCTTAAGTCTTCTATAATGATTTTTAAGTTGTTCTGGAACTGGGCAACTAGTTCCAGAGTGGTATCAAGAGATCTGAATTATCTGTTAAGTGTTCTAGAGCGTAGTAAAATGCTCCTAAAATGTTCCTGCAAGTTTTAAAAATGTTTCAAAAAAAAAAAAAAAATTCAAAGAGTTTTTTTCAACATGTCGACACACTAGAAACTCGTTGGAACATTATATAAACTCATTGAAACTTTTTGAAAACTCGTTAGAAAAATATTAAAATTCATTAGAAAGTTCAAAAAAAAAATTAACGAATTTTTTTCAACATGTTGAAACACTAGAAACTCGTTGAAACATCAAAAAAACTCTTCGAAACTCTAGAAACTCGTTAAAAAATGGTAAAAATTCATTAAAAAGTTCTATTTTTTTTCTGTTAAGTTCAACGAATTTTTTTCAACATGTTGAAACACTAAAAACTCGTTAGAACGTCATAAAAAAACTTTATAGCAACTCGTTGAAAAATGATAGAAATTCATTAGAAAGTTCGATTTTATAATTTTTTTAAAATTCATCGAATTTTTTTCAACAAGTTGATACACTAGAAACTCGTTGAAAGATCATAAAAAAACTTTTTAGCAACCCGTTGAAAAATGATAAAAATTCATTAGAAAATAAAAAAAAATTCAAAGATATTTTTCACACATTTTGAAACACTGGTTGAATGAACCTTTTTAGAAACTCGTTAAAAAATGATAAAACTTCATTAGAAAGTTTAAAATAGAAATCTAAAAAAATCAACGAGTTTTTTTTTTCAACATGTTGAAGCACTGGAAACTCGTTGGAACATCACAAAAACTCGTTGAAACATTTTAGAAACTCGTTTAAAAATGATTAAAATTCATTAGAAAGTTCTACGAATTTTATTCAACATGTTGAAGCACTGGAAATTCGTTGGAACATAATAAAAATACTTGAAACTTTTTATAAACTTGTTGGAGAATGATAGAAATTCGAAAAAACCAATAAAAATTCAGTGAGTTTTTTTCGACATGTTGAAACACTAATAACTCGTTAGAGCATGATAAAAACACGTTGAAACGTTCTAAAAAATCGTTAGAAAATGATAAAAAATCATTAGAAAGTTCAAAAAAAAAATTAAAAGAAATTTAACGAGTTTCTTTCAACATGTTGAAATACTAGAAACTCATTGGAAAATCAAAAAAACTTTTTGAAATTTTTTGGAAACTTGTAGCAATTATTTTCCTGATTTTTTCTGATTCCGGAAAACAACCACTAAACATATTATAAGCACGGCAGTTTTTCATTGAAAAATGATAATGATAAAAATTCATTAGAAATATCAAAAAAAAAAACTAAAAATTCAACGAGTTTTTTTCAACATGTTGAAATACTAGAAACTCGTTGGAGCATCATAAAAATTCGTTGAATATTTTAAAAAATTCGTTAGAGAATGATAAAATTTCATTAGAAAGTCCAAAATTTTAAATATTTTTTTTAAAATTTGATTAGTTTTTTTTTTTAAATGTTGAAACAGTAGAAACTCGTTGGAACATCACAAAAACTCGTTGAAACTTTTTAAAAAATGATAATTCATTGAAAAATTCAAAAAAGTGAATAAAAATTCAATGAGCTTTTTTCATTATGTTGAAATACTGGTACCTCGTTGGGACATCAGAAAAACTTGTTGAAGTAGAAACTTTTTAGAAACTCGTTGAAAAATGATAAAAATTCATTAAAAAATTTAAAAGAAAAAATTCAACGAGTTTTTTTCATTATGTATAAACACTGGAAACTCGTTGGAACATAACAAGAACTCGTTGAAAAAAATGAATTTTTATCATAAAAACTCGTTGAAACTTTTTAGAAACTAGCTGAAAATAATAATAATTAATTGGAAAACTCAAAAAAGTAAATAAAATTTGAACGAGTTTTTTTTTTAACATGTTGAAACACTGGAAATTCGTTGGAACATAGAAAAACTTGTTGAAACTTTTTAGAATCTCGTTGAACAGTTATAAAAATTCATTAAAAAGTTCAAAAAAATTCAACGAGTCTTTTTCAATATGTTAAAATACTGGAAACTCGTTGAAACAATATAAAAATTCGTCGAAACTCGTTATAAAATGATAAAAATTCATTGGAAAGTTCAATTTTTTTTTTTAATTTCACTTTTTTTTTTCAACATGTTGAAACACTGGAAACTCGTTGGAACATCATAACAATTCATTGAAACTTTTTAGAAACTCGTTGGTAAAATTTCTAAAAACACGTTAATAAAATTGATTGAAAAAACTCTTTGGAAACATTTTAGGAACTCGTTGAAAACTGTCTAAGAACACGTTAATAAAACTCATTAAAAACTCGTTGACAAAAAAAAACTCTATGGAAAAATTCCAGGAGCTCGTTGAAAACTTTCTAAAAATAAGTTAATAAAACTCAATAAAAACTCGTTGACAAAAAAAAAAAAAAACTCCTTGGAAATATTTTAGAAACTCGTTATAACTTCCCAAAAACAAGTTAAAAAAAAAGAAAAAGAAATAAGAAATTCGTTGACAGTAAAAAAACTCTTTAGAAACATTGTAGAAACTCGTTGAAAACTTTGTTGAAAACACGTTAAGAAACTTATTAAAAAAAAAAAAAACTCGTTGACAAAAAAAAACTCGTTGGAAACATTTTAGAAACTCGTTGAAAACTTTCTAAAAACACGTCAATGAAACCCATTAGAAACTCCTTGACAAAAAAAAAAAATTAATTGGAAACATTTATGAAACGTTATAACTTCTCAAAAAAACGTTAAAAAAAAAAGAAACTCTTTGGAAACATTTAAAGAACTCGTTGAAAACTTTCTAAAAACACGTTAATAAAACTTATTTAAAACACGTTGACAAAAAAAAAAATTCCTTGGAAACATTTTAAAAACTTGTTGAAAATTTCCTAAAAACACGTTAAAAAAACTAATAAGAAACTCGTCGACAGTAAAAAAAACTTTTTAGAAACATTTTGGAAAGGAAACTCATTGAAAACTTTCTAAAAGCACGTTAATTGTTGATAAAATTCATTAAAAACTCGCTGCCAAAAAATTCAGAAATTCGTTGAAAATTGTCTAAAAACACGTTAATAAAACTCATTAAAAACTCGTTGACAAAGAAAAAACTCGTTGGAAACATTTTAGAAACTCGTTGAAAACTTTCTAGAAACCTGTTAAATTTTTTTTATAAAAAACTCTTTGACAAAAAAAAAGAAAACTCGTTCGAAACATTCTAGAAACTCGTTGAAAACTTCCTAAAAACACGTGAAGAAAACTCATTAAAAACTCGTTGACAAAAAAAGAACTCGTTGGAAACATTTTAGAAACTCGTTGAAAACTTTCTAAAAACACGTTAATAAAACACGTTGACAAAAAAAAAATTCCTTGGAAACATTTTAAAAACTTGTTGAAAATTTCCTAAAAACACGTTAAAAAAACTAATAAGAAACTCGTCGACAGTAAAAAAAACTTTTTAGAAACATTTTGGAAAGGAAACTCATTGAAAACTTTCTAAAAGCACGTTAATTGTTGATAAAATTCATTAAAAACTCGTTGCCAAAAAAAAAATAAATTCGTTGGAAACATTTCAGAAATTCGTTGAAAATTGTCTAAAAAAACGTTAATAAAACTCATTAAAAACTCGTTGACAAAGAAAAAACTCGTTGGAAACATTTTAGAAACTCGTTGAAAACTTTCTAGAAACCTGTTAAAAAAATTTTATAAAAAACTCTTTGACAAAAAAAAAAGAAAACTCGTTGGAAACATTCTAGAAACTCGTTGAAAACTTTCTAAAAACACGTGAAGAAAACTCATTAAAAACTCGTTGACAAAAAAAAAAACTCGTTGGAAACATTTTAGAAACTCGTTGAAAACTTTCCAGAAACCTGCTAAAAAAAACTCATAATAAACTCTGACAAAAAAAAGAAAACTCGTTGAAAACATTCTAGAAACTTTTTGAAAACTTTCTAAAAACACGGTAAAAAACTCGTTGACTAAAAAAAAAGATAAACTCGGAAACATTTTAGAAAGTAATTGTAAACTTTCTAAAAACACGTGAAAAAAACTCGTTAAAAACATTTTAGAAACTCTTTGAAAACTTTATAAAAACATGTTAATAAAACTCATTGAAAACTTGTGAACAAAAAAAAAACTTGTTGAAAACATTTTAGAAACTTGTTAAAAACTTTCTAAAAAAACGTTAATAAAACTCATTAAAAAAAAACTCTTTGAAAACATTTTAGAAATTCTTTGAAAACTTTTTGAAAACACGTTAAAAATTTGTTGACCAAAAAAAACTCGTTAACAAAAAAAAAAATTCGTTGGAAACATTCTAGGAACTTGTGGACAACTTTCTAAAGAGAACATTAATGAAACTCATTAAAAATTCTTTGACCAAAAAAACTTATTGGAAACATTTTAGAAACTCGTTGAAAACTTTATAAAAACACGTAAATAAATCTTATCAAAAACCCGTTGACAAAAGAAAACTCGTTGGAAAAATTTTTGAAATTCGTTGAAAACTTTCTAAAAAAAAAAACGCTAAAAAAACTCATGAGAAACTCGTTGACAGTCAATAAAAACTCGTTGGAAACATTTTAGAAACTCGTTAAAACTTTCTAAAAACACGTTAAAAACCTCAACAAAAACCCGTTACCAGAAAAAAAAATTCGTTGGGAACATTCTAGGAACTCGTTGACAATTTTCTAAAAAAAACGTTAATGAAACTCATTAAAAATTCTTTGACAAAAAAAAACATTGGAAAAATTTTAGAAACTCGTTGAAAAACTTTCTGAAAATACGTTAAAAACTCATTAAAAACTCGTTGACAAAAAAAAAGAATAGGTACTCGTTGGAAACATTCTAGAAACTCGTTGAAAACTTTCTAAAAACACGTTAAAAACTCGTTAACAAAAAAAAAAAGGAAACACGTTGGAAACATTCTAGAAACTTTTTGAAAACTTTCTAAAAACACGTTAATAAAACTCATTAAGTCTGGAGCGTTCTAGAAATGTTTCTGAAAATTCTAAAAGTGTTCTAGCATGTTTTAGAATGCTTATAAATTCACACTAGTTGATTCTGGAACGTTTCTATGTTTCCAAAAGTTTCAATTGGTTCACTGGGACTCTGTAATGATTAGAAATATTTTCTCTATCTCTACTAATGTCCCCTCTCTATTGATTTCGAAAAGGGAGAAAAAGATAGCAAGTGCAGATTTTTTCAAATTGCCTCTCTAGAAAATATTTTTGGATATTGACACCCTGGATCTTCTCCAATTTCTTTGAATCTCCTGGAATAGCCCAAAATTTCTTTGGATCCCTTCAATATGTTTGAATCTCTTTCAAATTTCTCAATTAAAATTAAATCTCTTTGGATCTTCTTAGATATGATATCTTTGGATATTTTGCCTTTGAAATTAGAAATACCCATAGTAAAAAATCTTTTTGAATGTCCTCAATCTCCCTAAGATTTCTTCAAATTTTTCCAGATTTCTTGAGATTTTTTGGAATACATATCTCAAAACTTTTTTCCAGATTTCTTAAGATCTTTTGGAATATCTCAAAACTTCTCGGGATCTCCTGAAATATGTTTGAATCTCCATTGGAACTTCTCAATTAAATCCAAATATTTTTGGATCATTTTACATTAGATATCTTGAGATATTTTTCCTTTGGAATTAAAAATAAGTATAGTAAAAAGTCTTTTAAGATCTCTTCTAATTTTTCCAGATCTCTTGAAGTATTCCAAAATCTTTCTAGATCTTGTAAAATATGTTCGAATCTCTTTGGAATTTTTCAATTAAATTCAAGTCTCTTTGGATCTTTTCTATATTTGGATATTATTTTTCCTTTAGAACTAAGAAAATTCTCAACTCCTACCAAAAGTTTCAAATTATTTTAAAAGTGTTCTGGAGCGTTCTAAAATGTTTTTGGAAATTCTAATTTGATTCTCAAGTGTTCTAGAGCGATTCATAATGTTTTTCAAACTGTTTAATTGCTCCAAAAAAAAAAAAAAAAATTGAAAGGCCTCTGATGTTTTTCAAAATTTTAAATTTTTCTAAAGTGTTCTAGAACATTTTACAATGCTTATTGGCACTAATACCTTACTCTGGAGTATTCTAAAATGTTTCCTGAAGCTTTAAATTGACTCTACGATATTTTTGAAACGTTTGGAGCGTTGTAGAAGACATCAAGAATCACCCAGATTTTGTGAAACTTCGTTTTATACTACAAAAGATTAAAAGTGCTTTAAAGCATTCTAATCTATTTATAAAGATTTCAAGTTAGTTTCAAAGTATAATGCAACGAATTTCAGGTTGTTCTGGAAATTGTTGACTAGTTCTAGAGTAGTTCCAAATTATTTGTCAAGTATTCTGGACCATTTTTAAATTTTCCAGAAAACTGTATGTAAACTTAAACTTGAGAGTATCTTAAGCTTTCTGAAATGTTGATGCAAAAATATTCTGGTGTGTTTTAGAAGTTATTGAAAATTTAAAATTGATTTTAAAGTGTTCTAGAACACTTTATAAATGTTCTAAATTGACTCCTAATTCTTCTAAATTGATTCTATTATAATTCCTTCAATATACATTGGAACATCTTATAAGATATTAAAAATCTCTCAAAAGTTCTAGAACGTTCTTTGATGCTTATGAAAGTTTTAAACGAGTTTAAAAATGTTTTAGAATACTTTGTAAATTGTTACTTAAATTTCTTTGATATTCAAATGCTTTTCAATCAATTTACCTTGTTTTATACTTAACTTATTTTTGAAAAATTGAATTATGACAATGAATTGGGAGGTAAAGTATGAAAAATTTCTTAGAGGCTTTTTTTTTCTAAATTTGACAGACAATAGATAAGTGGGCCTGTAATCAGCCTTTTCTTAAACTCAAACAAATTTGTTAGATAATAATACTACTTACATTATTGTTATTGTAATACTTGTCCGACTCTGGATCTCTATATTTGCCCGTTATAGGCAAACCAATTTGAAACTAAAAACAAATTCTTCGTAAAGCAAAATATAAGAGGCAGAGTTTAAAGTTTACCTTGGACTTTGTCCTACTTCTAGCTCTAGCCCTTCTGGGCTCCACTTCTCCGATAAACCCGATGGCCAAAAGTAAAACCATGGACACCGCAATTTTCATTTTTCTTTTATTCCAAGTTCCCCGTCCTGTCCAACGGGAAAACGATTCGAACTAAAGACACAATTTGGCCAATTTCGTGTTAGAACAAAAGGGGCCCCTTCTATTTTGCAACCAATTGAAACAAATAAATCAATTTATTGTCTCAATTTGCATTTAGGATAAGTGCAGGAGGAAAAGTTTTCTTTTGAGATTTTTGATTGGATAATGGTGGTATTGAGATTGATTGTTTTGCGCGTTAAGAATGGATTGAAAATTGCATAATTTTGAGACTAGGCTTGAAAGTGCCTCTGAAATTATATGATATTCCAGTGGATTTACATAAAGTTCCAAAAAATTCCGCGGAACTTCAGTGAAATTCTACAAAAATGAGGTAGAATTCCAAAAAAAAAAATACTTTAAATTTTAAGGAAATTACATGGAATTCCAGCAAAATTACATAAAGAAATTCAAAAATATGACATGGAATTGCAGCGAAATTACATGAAATTCTAGGAAAATATTATGATGAATAATAAAGAAATTACATCGAATTCTAGTGAAATTATATAGAATTCCAAGGAATGATGTGGAATATCAAAAAAATAAATAAAATACATATATCAAAATGTGACAGTGTTTTTTCATTATTTGAGTTATTGGAAGGTGATTATTCTAGAATTTCTTCTGTTGTTGTTTTCTACTGGATTCACTTGAAATTCTAGTATGATGAGCTCTTAAGCCTCCTCTTTCTACTCCAAAAATTTGAAAATTCTCCCCTTTTTGATTTTTCCAAAATATATCAAAATGTGACATGGATGTTTCTTCATTATTTGAGTTATTGGAAGTTGATTTTTATAGAATTTCTTCTAAATTCTAATATGATGAGCTCTTGAACCTCCTCTTTTTACTCTTCCTTTGGTTTTTTCCCCAAAATGTATCAAAATGTGATAAAGTGTTTTATCATTATTTGAGTTATTGGAAGGTGATTTTTATAGAATTTATTAGGTTGTTGTTTTCTACTGGATTCACTTGAAATTCTAGTATAATGAGCTCCTCAACCTCCTCTTTTTACTCCAAAAATTTGAAAATTTTCTCCTTCTTGGTTTTTCCAAAATATATCCAAATGTGACAGAGTGTTATTTCATTATTTGAGTTATTGGAAGTTAATTTTTCGAGAATTTCTTCTGTTGTTTTCTACTGAATCCACGTGGAATTTTAGTATGATAAACTTCTAACCTTCCTCCAAAAATTTCAAAATTTTCTCCTTCTCGGTTTTTCCAAAATATATCCAAATGTGACAAAGTGTTATTTCATTATTTGAGTTATTGGAAGGTGATTTTTCTAGAATTTCTTCTGTTGTTGTTTTCTACTGGATTCACTTGAAATTCTAGTATAATGAGATCTAAACCCTCCTCTTTTTACTCCAAAAATTGGAAAAATTTTCCCTTTTTGGTTTTTTCCCAAAATATATCAAAATGTGATAGAGTGTTTTATCATTATTTGAGTTATTGGAAGGTGATTTTTATAGAATTTCTTTTCTTGTTGTTTTGTACTGGAATTTCTTCTATTGTTGTTTTCTACTGGATTAACTTGAAATTCTAGTATAATGAGCTCTTAACCCTTCTTTTTCTACTCCAAAAATTTGAAAATTTTCCCCTTCTTGGTTTTCCCAAAGTACCTATATCAAAATGTGACAGAGTGGTTTTTCATTATTTGAGTTATTGGAAGGTGATTTTTCTAGAACTTCTTCTGTTGTTGTTTTCTACTGGATTCACTTGAAATTCTAGTTTGATGAGCTCCTGAACTTCCTCTTTTTATTCCAAAAATTTGAAAAATTTTCCCTTCTTGGTTTTGCTAAAGTATATCAAAATGTGACAGAGTGTTTTTTAATTATTTAAATTATTGGAAGGTGATTTTTCTAGAATTTCTTCTGTTGTTGTTTTTCACTGAATTAACTTGAAATTCGAGTACGATGAACTCTTAACCTTCCTCTTTTTACTCCAAAAATGTCAAACTTTTCCCCTTCTCAGTTTTTCCAAAATATGTACCTTGAATTAAAAATAGTTTACTTTGAATTTCAAAGAAATTGCAGTAGATTTTCATGAAATTTAAAAAAATTATGTGGAATTTCAGTGAAATTTTACAAAAATGAGGTAGAATTAAAAAAAAAAAAATACGTTAAATTTCAAAGAAATTACATGGAATTCCAGCAAAATTACACGAACAAATTGAAAAATATAACGTGGAGTTGCAGGGAAATTAAATGAAATTCTAGGAAAATATGATGAATGATGTCTAAGGAAATTACATCGAATTCCAGTGAAATTATATAGAATTCCAATGATTGATGTGGAATATTGAAAAAAGAATATGTACCTTGAATTAAAAAAAGATAACCTACTTTGAATTTTTAAGGAAATTATGTGAAATTCCAGTGGATTTACATGAAATTCTAAAAAAATTTGAAATTTTACAAAAAAAAATGAGGTGTTATTCCAAAAAAAAATATATTTCAAATTTCAAGGAAATTACATGGAATTCCGGCGAAATTACATGAAAAAAATCAAATATATGACGAGAAATGGCAGCGAAATTACATGAAATTCTAGGAAAATATGATGAATGATTTCTAAGGAAATTACATCGAATTCCAAGGAATGATGTGGAATATCGAAATATCAAAAATAAAAATACCTTGAATTAAAAAAAGATTACCTACTTTGAATTTTAATGAAATTATGTGAAATGCCAGTGGATTTACATGAAATTTTAAAAAATTACGTGAAATTTGGATAAAACTCTACAAAAATGAGGTTTAATTTCAAAAAAAAAAAATACTTCAAATTTCAAGGAAATTACATGGAATTCCAGTAAAATTTCATGAAGAAAATCAAAATAATGACGTGGAATTGCAGCGAAATTACATGAGATTTTAGGAAAATATTATGAATAATTTCTAAGAAAATTACATTGAATTCCAAGGAATGATGTGAAATTCGAATAGATTTACATGCAAATCAAAAAATTACCTGGAATTTCAGTGAAATTCTATAAAAATAAGGTGAATTTCTAAAAAAAGTACTTTAAATTTAAAAGAAATTAAATGGAATTCCAGCAAAATTACATGAAGAAATTTAGAAATATGACGTGAAATTGCAGCGAAATTTGATAAAATTCTAGGAAAATATGATGAATGATTTCTAAGGAAATTGCATCAAAGTCCTGTGAAATTACATACAAATTTTAGAAATGATGTAGAATATCAAAAAAAATACGTTGAATTGAAAAAATATTACATACTTTGAATTTTGAGGAAATTATGTGAAATTCCAGTGGAGGTATATGAAATTTCAATAAATTACGTGAAATTTCGGTGAAATTCTACAAAAATGAGGTCGAATTAAAAAAAAAATTAAAATTGCAAGAAAATTACATGGAATTCCAGCAAAATTACACGAAGAAATTTAAAAATATGACGTGGAATTGTAGCGAAATTACATCAAATTCCAGTGAAATTACATATAATTCCAAGAAATGATGTTAACTATTTTTAAAAAATACCTTGAATTAAAAAAAATATTAGTTACTTTGAATTTTAAGGAAATTATTTGAAATTCCAGTGTATTTACATAAAATTCCAAAAAATTACGTGGAACGTTAGTGAATGTCTACAAAAATGAGGTGGAAACCCAAAAAAAAATACTTCAAATTTCAAGGGAATTCCATGGAATTCCAGCAAAGTTACATGAAAAAATTCAAATATATGACTAAAAATTGCAGCGAAATTACATGAAATTCTAGGAAAATATGATGAATGATTTCTAAGGAAATTACATCGAATTCCACTGAAATTACATGGAATGACGTGGAATATCGAAATATCGAAAATAAAAATACCTTGAATTAAAAAAAGATAACCTACTTTGAATTTTAATGCAATTATGGGAAATTCCAGTGGATTTACATGAAATTTTAAAAAAATACGTGAAATTCGGATAAAATTCTACAAAAATGAGATGGAATTTCAAAAAAAAAAAAAAAATACTTTAAATTTCAAGGAAATTACATGGAATTCCAGCAAAATTTCATGAAGAAAATCAAAATTATGATGTGGAATTGCAGCGAAATTACATGAGATTCTGGGAAAATATAATGAAAGATTTTTAAGAAAATTATACATAGAATCCCAGTGAAATTACATAGAATTCCAAAAAATTATGCGGAATATCAAAAAAAAATACCTAGAATTAAAAAAAGATTACATACTTTGAATTTTAAGGATATTATGTGAAATTCCAGTGGATTTACATAAAATTCCAAAAAATTACGTGGAATTTAAATGAAATTCTACAAAAATGAGGTAGAATTCCAAAGAAAAAATACCTAAAGTTTCAAGGAAATTCCAGCAAAATTACATTGAAAAATTCAAAAATATGACGCGGAATTGAAGCGAAATTACATGAAATTCTAGGAAAATAATATGATGAATGATTTCTAAGGAAATTACATCGAATTCCAGTGAAATTACATAGAATTTTAAGGAATGATGTGGAATATCAAAAAAAATACCTTGAAATAAAAAAGATTACTTTGAATTTTAAGGAAATTATGTGAAATTCTAGTGAATTTACGTGAAATTCAAAAAAATTACGTGGAATTTCAGTGAAATTTTACAAAAATATGGTGGAATTTCAAAGAAAAATACTTTGAATTTCAAGGAAATTACATGGAATTCGAGGGAGTTTCTAGGAAAATGATGGAAAATTCCAGAGAAATTACATACTTTGAATTTCAATTTTGGTCGTTGTAAATCCAAAATTTATTGCACTATCCAATATTTAGTCTATTACAGGCTCTTACAGTGTTGCCAACTTTTTACATAAAACTGGATGATGAAAATTTGATTTTCTAGAATTTCGCGAAAAATATCAAAATGTGACAAGTACAAACAAACAAAAGTGCTACAAAGAGACACGAAATTAATTTGAAAAAACGGAATCTCGGGTAGTTATCCGCAAATTGGCAACACTGGTTCTAGAGGAATTTTATTTTAATTTTAAACAATTATATATTACAACTTACTATTGATTGGTGGGAAGCTGAGGATTTTTCACATGAAAAACACTAAAACTGAGCCCCGAATCGAAAAAGAAAGTCCCTGTAATGAAAAGTCTCCATTTTACATCGGCTGTCAAAAATTACAAGGCCTACTTTGAAATGTCACATTTTTTTGACGTTTGTGCCAAGGTTGCTGCATTTTTAATTGGTTTTTTTTCAAAAGCCGGTGTACTTGTGAATTAGACGCGAATTTAATGAAAATTATTAACAATTTACTGCAATTTATCAAAAAAAGTGCCCCGAGAGGTTGCAAAAACGTCATTTCGGGCCAACTGTCAAAGAAAACAAGGCCTACTTTGAAACGTCAGATTTTTTGACTTTTGTTGTGTCATATATTTTTTTCAAAACTCAGTGTACTTGTAAATTAGATTATCAAATATCAATTGATGAAAAATAATGAAAATTAATTGAAAATTATTGACAATTCACTACTACTGATATTTTCAAAATATCACTGGTGCAGAAAAACATTCCTGAATTTTCCACCCTAAGGGCTTGTGATTTCCACTGGGCAAGCGTTACAGAAAACTGCAATATTCTATTACCGACTTTAACAGTGTTGCCAACTTAAAGATTTTTTCATATTTTTTTATAAGTATTGAAACATTGAGAACTTTGATAATTGAAAAAAAATATATATTTATTTATAAGGTGGGTTCGGCTTGCTCATTCCGTGCACTCCGAGTGACTCCATTTGCACTCCAACCGTTCGGATTAAGGTTCGGGTATTGCTTTTTATCATATTACGGGTGACTCCATTAACTCTGTTCACTCCACTCCAACTCCGCGCTGAATAGCCGAACCCAGGGATACAGGGTGTTTGAAGAACCACACAAATTTGGTTCTAAATTTTGAAAATAAAATGCAAGCTCATTTTGATGTTTGTAAAAGATTTATATTAAAAGAAAAATCTTATAATTTAGGATGAGATAATTAATTTCAATAGGTCAGCATGGCATAATCGGTCCTAAAAGCCCGATAATCGATGGCGTATTTGTTATTGGCCTGACATTCGTAAAAACCTGCATCTTTTTGAGTTGCCGGATCGATTTCCATTTTACTTTTTATCGTGTCGTTGCCTTCTGTCCATTCATGAACCTAAAATAACAAAAGTTGTAATAATTATAAAAATGATTGATTATTTCACAAAAATCAAACCTGAAAATATTTGTGATGGTACAATTCAATTCCGTCTTTAAACCATGTGATTTCTGGCCTGGGCATTCCTAAAAATCAATTATAAATTTGTTGAAATTATTTACACACTCCAATTACTTACCTTGTGCCATACAGAAAAATGTAATTTTTCTCCCCAGCATGTATTCGTAATCAAAGTGGCTGGATTTCACTATTCTTGCTCCCTGAAATTAAATTTTCAGTAATTTTAATTACATTATTATTTGACTAATCATAAACTTACATCTTTATTTTCATAGTAGGACACCGATTGTGAGTTTCTGTGTTGAATTTTAATGGGGATTCTCGAGCTGTAAAGTCTGCCTTTGCCAAATTTTGCTGAAAATGAAAGTTTGAAATTTAAAATTTCACTTGGAAAATGATTTTCTTCTACAGATCTTACAAAATTTTTAAAATTGTCTCATATTTTCTACATTAATTCTTGTTGATTTTTTGAATTTTTTCCATCATTGAAAGTCAGAATCGTTTTTGATATTTTTGTCTCTGATTTTCCAACTTCTGTGAAATACTTTTCTGTATGACCTTTTGAGTTTTCCGAGGAGTTTTCGAATTATTCCAAATGTATGTACAGTTTATGTTCACTACAATCATTTATCTAACCACTTTCGCTTCAATTTCGATCAAGTGACGTCAACTTTCGATTCTTAAATGTAACTCATGGTATATTATGGCATTTTTTGTTAGAAAATTTAATTACAAAATTGGCAATGCCATATTTGTTAAGGCTTTGTTGAAGAAAATGATAAAAAATTATACAGTGGAACATACGAGGATGCGTTCTGAAGTTATCATTTGGGAAAAACCTCATGGGACACCCTGTATAAAGAAATATCGTTTCCTGTTGATAATTTTCGTCTAAACCCCAAATATTATTTCGTTGAGTACATAATCAAAAATCGCATATTCAACTTTTCAAACACCCTGTATCTCAAAAACTTATCATAGAATTCGTTAGTGCCTATGGACACTTTTGATCAGAACCTCAAGAAAAATAACATACCAAAATTTCATCAAATTTGACCGGGCACCAAAGTCCCATAAGATGTGTGCGGGGGGGGGGGGGGGTCCTTTGCTTACATTTCTCAGTTTTTCAACAATAACTCTTGAACGATGCATTTATAGAAAAATTACTCTTCTATAAATTAAAGTAGGTACATAAAATTCTACATCGAAAGAGTACCATAAATAGATTTTTTAGGTCTATTTTCTCTCTCAGTTGTTTTCTTATTTCTGTTTAATCTTCTAGGTCTTTTTGTACTGTTGCTCATTTTCTGTCATTTCCAGACTTGTTATCTGTTCGATTTGGTATCTCAAAATGATGATTAATTGGATCTTGAATCTAGACAACCTGATTCTTTGGAGAACTGTTCTTCTTGTTCTATTCGATCTTTAGGTTCATGGTTCGTTGTTTGATGAATTCTGTAACTCTTCTTCACTTATGTTGCGGAAATAACCAACAACAAGTTTAAATTTTATTATTTCTAATTTAATATAATTTTTCTCTCTATTATTTACTATAAAAATGATATTCTAAAAATAGATGCCATTGGTGAACTATTTATCCTGTAAAACTGGCAACAACAACTCTTTAAACCAATAAAATTGCAGGTTTCTTCATTACCTTATAAGGTAGTGGACCTTTCTCCACTTTTCTTGCCGCTGTGATTGATCAGCCGCCACATTGTTTCCTAGTTTTTCCGACCATTTGCGACCTGTTCCCCTGGCAGAGTCTAGTCGACGCACATTCTTCAGTACTATTAGAATAAGCGAAGAGTTCGCGCCCTCTGATGCTCCCCAGTAGCAAAACCCCCAAAAACCCCCGTTAGTACACACGATTTATAGCAAAATACTACTCTCTGTGTCTTAAGGCCTGACATGGTCTACATTATTGTTTACAATTCATGTAATTAACTCCTAATTATTGCAAGTCACCTCTGACCAGCAAAATTCTCTCGTAAGCGTCTGTTTGTGTCTCTTTCTCTCTCTTTCACTCTCACCTGGCTCCAACTCACCTGCATGTGCATATCGTTGTGTTTTCTCTCTCAGTGGAAAATTCCCTAGCTGCCAGTGTGAATAGTGATGAATGGATAAATAATCGCCTTGTGGATTTATCTAAATGAATTATTAGAAAAAAAAAGCCGAAGATCCAACGCGAAACGCGATCTTTATCCGATTTTCGATAAATTCGAACATGGTTTTTCGTCTCCTGCGGGTTTATTTATTTCTAGCGACCCTTATAAGTTTGCCCTCACCGCTACGCATACGCCACTGTTCGACTGCTCCCTCCAGCTCGTGTCATCTTCTTGCCCTTCTCCCCCATTTTTCTGAAGCACGCACGCGCTGCCCCTGCCAACGAGGGCAGCTTTTTTTAAACAGGCGTAGGGCGGAAAATTGGAAAGTCCGGCACTGCTGATCGCGTTCCAAAGTATTTTTTGACATAGTCTACGTATTTGTTCAGGACTGAAGAGAAACTTTTTCTCAACTCCTATGGTAGTCGGTGGAGTAGGAACCCGCCGTCAATCACATAGAAAACACTTCCGATGTTTGAAGTGGTATCCATTGAATCGAACAAATCATAGAAAATAGATTTACGTAAGTTTTTCATCATTCCTTGTTCATCAAATAAAGATGGTGGGTATATGGAGCCAGTAATTTTTCAGTTCGTCTTCTAGTTTTTTATGAAATGAAATTCTCCTGAAAATAGTGTATAGATCTACTGGTACTACTTCGTCATGCAACTTCACAGTGCTAGTGAAGCCTCGCATTGGTAAAACTCTTTTCTTTCTGGATTCACTTGACCAAAATTGCTTCCATGCTTTCGAGACTAGAATTACCGATTTGGTCTGACGGATGGCTATTATAGGCCAAGCAATGAAGGAAGTTTACCTCAACATAATTAGAAGTTAACATTTTTTGGGGGGGATCGGTTCATTTTCATGTGCTTAATAACATATTAAGTTTGCGACCTTGTACTTCCATAGGGTTTTTAGTTAGGGGTAATTTTTAGGGGTAATTTGCGGTTTATGGAGAACGCTGCTCAAAGGGATGGGCCAATAGCAAAAAGTTTCAAATGAATGTTGTAGCTGAAGTTTTTTGCTATAAAAAACTCAGCGACAGCACCCTTCTATCTTCTATACTTTTTTTTCTGCAGCGTCTTGAATACTAGCATGTTTTTATTCAAGGTCACTGAATCAACGTTTTACCTGTTTGCGCGCGTTTGATGCAGCAACTGCTAAATGCATAATCCGATTTCAATTTTTCAAACACCTCATTATTGCTAATGAAATGCACTTTCCAATGCTTTTTTGTTCGAATTTTTTGCTTGAAAATTAAGCGAGCACCGACTTGGCTAATGTGCGAGAAAGTTGTAAATTGCATCGAAAACTACCCCTTTCTTTCATTCACTGTAATTTCTAAACGGGGCGAAATATTAAGGTGCGTACAGACATGCAACAGAACGCCGTAACGTAACTTCACCGCGTAACAAGTACGCGACATATCTGGACCGTACTCTGCAACATCGTAGCAGTACAGCAACCGCGTAACACCGTAACATCGCAGCGTCCCATCGGTTGTCGGTAAATCGACACCGCATCAAAGAAATGTTCGCGGCGATGTTGCACTTGATTTTTTTAGTCTGGACGTGCTTGCGAACCCGGTGCCGTTGTTTTGGTTTTGCCCTTTTGTATTTCCACTATTTCCAGTCAAATTCAGTTGCTATTTTGATTTCGATAGAAATGGAGTGGACGGAAGACAGTGTGCTTGAGTTTATCGAAATTTATAGAGGGAAGGAAATTTTATGGAATAACAAACATCCCAGATATTTTAATAAAATTCAGAAAAATGATGCGTGGGAAGATGTCGCAAGAAGTGTAGGTGCTACGATTGACGAGTGCAAGAAGAAAATTAGTGCGTTGCAGTCAGCGCTGAGGCGGGAAAAGTCAAAAATTAAAAAAAGCATGGGCACCGGAACAGGTAAAGATTTATTAATTAATTAAATTTTTTTGACACTTCTAACAGCCAATTTTTTTAACAACTTTCTCAAGCTTGTTGCCTTCAACAAGCTTTCGAAACCTGTTAAAAAAATGTTTTCGAACAATTATCAATGTCCTTGGGTTGTTACTACTGGTATAGTTTTTCCAAAGTCAATTGGAACAAGGTAAACATAAATCATACTGGTGGCCGGCTGACTAGTGGCAGTGGCGGCAGTGCATTTCTTATGGAACTTTCCAGTGACCATCAGTCAGCCACCAGTTGGTACCTTGTTCCAATTGACTTTTGTAATAGTATAATATGAATTGATTAATATACTATTATTTCAATTGTAGGGCGTTCCGATGTGTATGAAAGTTCTTGGTTCGCATTCAAGAGCTTGCTATTCCTGTGGGACAAAAACAAAGTACGCAATACTCAAAGCTCTGTAAGTGTTTATTTATTTATTTATTTATTTTTTTCAATATTATTTAAGTATATTTATCTTGCCACAAAATCCGCCCTTCATTTTGAAAGAAATCAGCCAATTCTTCTCGAATTGCTTTAGCCTGTATGGATGGTTTTCTGGGAATATTTCTGAGAGGAAGTAGCGAAGTAGTTGGTTCATTACTTGAAGCTCTCGCTCCATCGACAAGTTTTCCCTCTACTTCCGTATCGAATGTTCCGTTTGGTGTATACAAGTGACAGGAGGAGGAACTTTTCCTTAAGAAATTATGTAAGTGAGCTATTGCCATTACAATGAGCTCAGCCTTTTCAGGACTTAGCAGCATGGGTTTCCGGAGTGCTCTAAATACTGCTGAAGCAATACCAAATACATTCTCTACGACTCTTCGCGCGCGAGATAATCTATAATTATAAACCCTTTGTAATGATCCTTTGGGGTGAATTCCCGAAAACGGTTTCATTAATGTATCAGTGAGAGCAAACGCCTCATCTCCAATGAAAAAATAGGGAATTTCGCGTTGTCTACCATCCAAAGCTTCAGCTAGTGGCAATCTTAACTCATTTTTTTCTAGTTTTTTGAACAGGGAACAATTTTTGAAAATGTCACCATCAGAAATTCTTCCTTGGCCTCCAGCATCAACATACAAAAAGTTGTAATGAGCATCTACTACTGCAAAAAGAACTATGCTGAATGTCGATTTGTAGTTAAAAAAATCGCTTCCTGTATTAATAGGTGCTTGCAAAACGACGTGTTTTCCATCGATTGCCCCTAGGCAGTGCGGAAAGTTCCAAATATCGTTGTATTGTTTTGCTACTTGTAACCACCCCTCTGATGTTGTTGGTATCTGTAAAAAATATCGTTTTCAGAAACTTCAAAGAATAATGATTCTACTAACTAAAAAACCTTGAATTTATGACCTGATCTACAAGACATTTCTTTCCCAACCCAGAAAACTATTTTGTCATATTATCGAAAAAATATCAACAGAACTTTTTATTTGGTTGCAGATTGATAAAGAAACAGACGAAAGTAATGATGTAGATGATGATACCGCTTTGCAAGATATGAATCCGGACTCTGAGGAGCCCCAGAAGACTAACGACATACAAGAGCCTGACGAGACTGAAGAGCATCATGAGATTCAGAAGCCTCACGGGACTCAGCAGTCTCACGAGACTCATGAGCTTCGCGTGACCCAGGAGCCCAACGAGTCTCAGCAGACTCCAAAGACTCGGATTAGAGTCAGTAACAAGGAAAGAAAACCCCCTCAGATGACTCATAGTATCCCGAACAAAAAACGTGCAGTTGAAAAATTGGATGCTGCTTTCGAAATTCTAACAAAGGCATCGAATAAGGAACCACCGCAGGATCCAAGCGAATGTCAAATATTTGGAAATCTTGTAGCCAAGAAACTTAGTAAATATTCGAACGTAGCACAAACGGCAGTACAAGAAGCCATCATGAATATTTTATTTGCGGCAGACAAGGGGTATTATAATCAATATCCCGCTCCAAGAGGTTATCAATCAAACAATTATTCCACAATCCAAAGCGAACTTGTACAACGTGATTCGGTTTACCAAGATACTCAGTTGATACAATCCCCATATTCACCCCGTCCCGCAGCTCATTGGGATTTTGCAACTGACGCATCATCCCAAGCGCCTCAGTTTTCACCGGTACCACTGCCACTAATATCTCCAGCATCAGCAAGTTCACAATGCTCGGGTATGACAAATTATTCCGCTTCTACCAGCAATCCACCCCCATTTACCAGTGCAACATTACTAACTGATTTAAACTTGCCAGATAATTAAATGATATTCAAGAACAAAATTTTATAGAAAAATGTTTTATAATAAAGAATTTTGAGCAATAAATAAATCAACATACCTGTATATTCTCCTTCAACCCTTCTATGAGAGCTTCACACACTTCTGGTACTATAGCGCTTATCGATTGTTTCGAAATTTTGAACAGATATTGCAGACTCGTGAAGGAATCTCCAGTCGCCAGAAAACGCATTGTTACTGCCAATCTTTCCTGAACCGAAATAGCTTGTCTCCAATTAGTGTCTCTTCTTGATACTTTTGGACTGATTAGGTTAATCAAAAATTCAAAATCAGTTGGCGACATTCTGGTAAAGTTTTTGTATAGACCACTCACAGACTGGAAGTTTAGGTCTCTCAATAAATGACGACCACTGTACACAGTTCTACTGGTGTATAATTGAGTCTGCCACCAGCGTCTTGGTCTGCGTTTTCTCTTATGCACTAAATAGTGCATAACTATGTAAGCTGCAGCAGCAATGTCCATCTTGCTTGAACGTAGATACCAACTAACTAAAAACGTTGCTAAAAAGCTGGGACGCCTAAATGTTCCGCGCCGATGTTGCGCGGCGATGTTCTGTTGCACCAAACTAAACCCACTTTCCTCATCGCAACGTAACAACGTCGCGCAACAGAACATGTCGCGTGCTTGATACGCGGTGAAGTTACGTTACGGCTTTCTGTTGCATGTCTGTACGCACCTTTAGGTGACAGTTTTCGACAATCGGCAGCCCATTTATTCCTCTCATATTGCCCCAGCGGATTTTTTGTTTCGTTAATTACTCAATGACGTATTGGCCTGAACACGTCGCGCGGAATTTTTCAAAAAGTTGAAAAAAATTAAAATTGTCGCATAGCGCTGAAATTTGGTACGATGGCCTTATTTCTTGTTCTTACGAATATACTGAAATTTTAATTGCTTCACATGACTGCTGCAACCATTAAAATTGCAGTATATTCATGAGAACAATAAATAATGCCATCGTACCAAATTTCAGCGCTGTGCGACAATTTTAATTTTTTTCGACTTTTTGAAAAATTCCGCGCGACGTGTTCAGGCCAATAAGTCATTGAGTAATTAACAACAAAAAAATCCGCTAGGGCAATATAAGAGGAATAAATGGGCTTCCGATTGTCGAAAACTGTCACCAAATATTTCGCCCCGTTTAGAAATTACAGTGAATGGAAGAAAGGGGTAGTTTTCGATGCAATTTACAACTTCCTCGCAAATTAGCCAAGTTCGTACTCGCTTAATTTTCAAGCAAAAAATTCGAACAAAAAAGCATTGGAGAGTGCATTTCATTAGCAATAATGTGGTGCTTAAAAAATTGAAATCGGATTCAGTTGCTGCATCAAACGCGCGCAAACAGGTAAAACGTTGATTCAGTGACCTTGAATAAAAACATGCTAGTATTCAAGACGCTGCAGAAAAAAAACTATAGAAGATAGAAGGGTGCTGTCGCTGAATTTTTTATAGCAAAAAACTTCAGCTACAACATTCATTTGAAACTTTTTGCTATTGGACCATCCCTTTGTGCAGCGTTCTCCATAAACCGCAAATTACCCCTAAAAACCACCCCTAACTAAAAACCCTATGGAAATACAAGGTCGCAAACTTAATATGTTATTAAGCACATGAAAATTAACCGATCCCCCCCAAAAAATGTTAACTTCTAATTATGTTGAGGTAAACCCTCTTTTAAGATCCCCGTTTCTTGGACTATTACCTATACGTACTCGCCGAGTGGAAAAAGATTGTGATAAATGAATGATTTTTTTGCAGTCACTGTTATCTCTGGTTATTCTGGATAACCATACCTCCATAATTAATTGTAGGCATTGTTGCAACCCATTTAGCCAATGTGCTGTCCGTTATTCCTCTGCCGTGACTTAAACTTCCAGTACTTTTTAGTGCTTTCATTAAGCTCGATGGTCATGTTAGACCACAGCCCTGAGGCGGAAATCTAGTTCCAACATATCCTGAAGATATAAATGGCATGATTTTGTAAAAGTAAATTATGTGTTTTTTGACACTTCGAACATTTTGATCTAGGACACTTCCAAGAAAAATGCGAATCATTAAAACAATTTAAACATAATTTGAGTCTTTTTACTGCATTAATTCGTTCAGCAACGGCTAGATTCAGAAAAGAATTACATTTGAAAATTGTATGATTGCTTTGATTACAATAATAACATTTAAAGTCATTATCGCGAGTATTTTTAAATTTCTCATCTATTGCAGCATGATTACTACTGCCTTCCCTATTAAATTTTCTACCTATTGCTGGTTTTTTATTATTCTTATCCGATTCTAGAGCATATTTTGATGCCTCCAACTTTTCAAAAACCTCACATTTATTTTTTAGAAATTTATTCAAGTCCTGCATTGATGGTAAATCACCCGCAAACATTTAAAAGCTTCCCAATCACGACGCGTAGCATTATCTAACTTATTGGCTAAAATATAAATTATCAACCTATCCCAAGAATCGGTATCCTCGCCAAAGGATTTTAATGCCCTTAAATGTTTGGTTATCGCATCATACAATTTTCTCAATTCTATGTAAGATTCTTTTTCTATGTTTGGGTGTTCAAAAATTGCACGTATATGATTATGAACAATCAAACCTTTATTTTCATATCGCTCATTTAACAACTGCCATGCAATGTCATAATTATTTTCTGTTACTTCTAGCGATTTAATAATGTTCAGAACCTCCTTACCTAAAGTAGATCTGAGATAATAAAACTTTTGTATATTATTTAAAGCTGTATTAGCATTTACTAATGCATTAAAAGAATCTTTAAATTCCAACCAATTACAATACTGGCCATCAAAATTTGGCAAATTAATGGGTGGTAATTTCACTAGTGATTGAATGGATAGTACATTTTGATTTGGCGTTAACGCTAAATTATGCATTGAACTCACGAGAGAACTCAAAGCGCCTTGAGGAGCACCCTGATTAACTGAAGTATTATCATCAGAATTATTATACTCCTTTATCAAGGCACTCATTTCAGAAATTAATTTAAAATATTTATCTTCAAATTCACTCCTCTCAGCTTCAGAAACCTGAGATTCGGCATCATCTAATTCATCACCTATACCTGCTGTCATTCGTTGTTCAATAATAGTTTGATCAATTTGAACATGCAATGCATCAAACTCGTCATAAATGGGTTGCAATCGCTCTAAACGCGCCTGAACTTCATTAACAATATTATCATTCAAATTATCTTTATCAATCCCTTTGAAATAATTTTCCAAACGTGTAACCTTACCCTTAATACTTTTCTTTTGGGATTTTAATTTTGCAATCACGACTTCAGCCATTCTGATTGACACAGATTGAATTTGTTGTTAAATTTACAAATTTACGTAATTGAACCGACTTACCCAGAAAAACGCAAGCAACCAAATGTGGAAACGTGACAGTAATAATTTCTATACTTTCTTACTCACTGCCTTTCCGATGCTTTCGTTTTTGAACCAATCGCCACGACCAACTCCTCCAATGACTAAAATGGAATATCAAAATTATTTTACTTTGTCAATTATTTCCTCGATTTCTTCTTTATTCTGAAATACTTGTACCAATCCACATCCTGCGACGAAGGACCATTGATTTGACTGTGAAATGATACACGAGTAGAACTGTTTTCCAATATTCTTTTAAATTATCAGGAGAAGATTACAATTATTTTTGGCAAGCTCGGTGACTATTTCTGACAATTCTCTCACAGTTGATTCGACTGGTTTTTATTGTTAGTGTTCTGGTTTCTACCTGGTTTCGAATGTTAACACAATACGTGCATAAAGCACAAAAAAGGTCCACTTTACACACTTGTTGCATAAATAACTATTTCACGGAAAAATTAGAAAAAAAAAAAAATAAAATTTCAAAAAATGAAAAATATTGGAATAATCTTTCAAAAAATAAAAAAATTCTTTTTCAAAAAATAACTAAAAATTGCAATGTTTCTTTCAGACAAAAATTTCTTGAAAAATTTCGAAAAAAAAAGTTCTGGAATTTCCTTCGAAAAAATTTTTTTTAAAAAACAACATTCTGGAATTTTCTTCCAGGAAAAAAAAAAAAAAAATTGGAATTTTATTTCAGAAAAAATTAAAAAAAAAAAAAATGAAGGAAAAATTTCAGATTTCTATTTTTATTTTGAAATTAGTCCGGAAGGAAAATTCCGAAATTTTTCTTTTCCGAAATTTATCCTTCAATAAAGCATCCAAAATTTTTCATTCCAGAATTTTTCTTTTTTAGAAATTTGTCAATTTTCTTTTAATTTAAAACTCTTGGATGTTCTTTCAAAAAATAAAAAAATCAGGAATTTTCTTTCAAAAATTGAAAAAAAAATTAGAATTTTCTCTCAGGAAAAATTGAAAAGAAGAAAATAAAAATCTGGAATGTTATTGCAGCACTATATCGTCGCTTATCTGACAAATGGACGTAAGCACCATAAACATTGATGCGGATTTTGATTCGAAGGACCGTAAACTCGCTTTAAAACTCGAAATATCGTACTAGTAAAAAATCGTCTGCCTTACCTTGACTTGACGTAAGCAGGAATGGCGTTCTTTCATGGTCCGGGCTGCTTCCTTCTTGACGGTTGACAGTTTCAGGACCGAACTTAGATTTATTTA